GCCCTTTGGAAAATCAAGATATACTTCTGTTTAAAGCAGGTTTCACTGAATTATTTAGAAAATAATTTTTATTACTTATCTTTCTGAGTATTATTTCACTTAATTTTATACAGAGAAGGATGCCATGGTAAAAAATGATAAATTGTTTTGTATCTATGCAAAGGAAAATTCTACCACTGCAGTTTAATTAAAGGTACTAAAATTTGAACCTCTAATACTATTCAGAAAAGTTTCTTAATATATTTCATGAGAACATATGTAATTAGTCAGAAAATTATCATAGTATCGGCAATGGATTATTTAATCGAGCACCTAAAACCAAAAATGGATTTATGACAGAAGACATGTTATATAAGTGGGCCATCCTAATAGGACTCGATTCTATTTAGGTACCGTTAGTAATGTATACTGTTCATGTGGTCTACCAACTGTGGGGACAAAGCCATGTATATAACATTCCAAAATATGTTTGAATGCTTTGGCAGCTACACAAGTGAAAAAATCCTATTTAAAAAATTGTAAAATTCTGCTCAGCTTTGGGATGTTGGCATGTTCAGCAACAAGTTATCCTTCAGACTTTTTAATATTCTCTCCTTTGCTTTTTTTTATTATTAAATAGTAGCTTACAGGCATGCCAAAATCCATCAATCAGATCACAGAGAAGAATTATCATGCGATCATTTTCCTATATTCTTTTACAAAATCTTACATGAGACAGGCTACTTTTAAAGTTTTTCCTGTATAATTTTTAGAAGAAAAGAAATCTCACACAAATGATTTTTACTACAAAAGTCGATTTTAGTGTTATTTTAATAGCTAATGAAAATATTTTAATGCCACGCTGCCTCCTAGCTTTTATTAGTGTAAAATCTTATTTTTACTTGAGTTTGTGTACATATATTTGCATGCTTTCTAAAAAAGATTTTATTCTTTGTAGAAATTTTCTATTATAGATCAATTCTCTTTGATCTGTATGGAGAATCCTTTCTGAATATAATTCAACCAGAATATACTATGTACCTATTACATATTAGGTTTTGTTAGGCTCTGGCAAAGTCAACATGAGTAACACATGAACACTACTCTCCAGGGAATAAGAACACAGTTTATTTAATTCTGAAATACAGAATATTTCTTTCTAAAACCATTTTATAGTAATTGTTTTGTCAATTATTTAATATTAATTTTATTTACTCCCTATGCATCAGAAGATCCAGGGACTGTATGTGACTTAAATACTTGTAAAGTGCAGTCCCTTTTTTCTCATAGTCTCATAAAGAGTACTCGTGACAATTAAAATAATACTTTCTTTTCAGAATTTCTGTAACATTTGTGTCATATACCTTTCATTTGACAATTAGTTATGTAGTCATTTGTGAAATCACATTAATTGATTTGGCAATTATTTCCTTCATATCATAATTTAATCTTTATATACATTTATTGTTTCCCCAACAGGGCCTCCAAATACTTGAATACAGGAATTATTATATCTTAAATGTATTTGTGTTTTTCTTCTTAAAGTTATCGGTGGTTTTCATTTGGTGGATAATAGTTAAGTATCCAGGCTTTAATTAGTCACTGGTATTAAGGAAAGTCTATTTTATCTCTCAGGTATATAAGAATAGAAAGTTATTTTAAAATTACTTTGAGTGTATTTTTTAAAAACAATTTTCTAATTGCCTGCTCAACTCATCTGATAAATAATAACGACACATTGTCACGTTTTGTTATTGATTTCCTTCCAAAATTTGTTGCTTATTAATTTATATTATACTTCAGTCATTTATTTATAAGGAGGTAAAATCGTTATGAAGGGCTTTTCTTCTTCATCTACACTATCTTATAATTCAAAAATATAGCCCTAAAACCAAATGCAAATAGTAGTAAAAGCAGGAATGTAAAAATATTTATTTCAGAAAGACTTACAGGTGGAAATGTGAAAAGTTAGGTGTAAAATCTTCAACCATTCATTCTCTGGTAAGCTTTAGTTTATGTTTTAAAACAAACACACAAATAATGATAGTAAATGTCTGCAAAATAATCTCCTGCCAAGATTAAAATTATATTTTAAAAGTTTTACAAATTTATTTTTGCCAAAAGCAAGTATGGTGGATGGGTAGACAGCATGCCACCCACCACCTGAGTTCTAGAAAAAAACTTTAAGATTTTACATAAATAGTACACATAGATTGTGTAGATTTTTTTTTTAGAAAAAACATTGTGTTTGTCTTAATAGAGAATCCATTGCTTTCTGGTTCCTCATCTGATCTATGATTCTAAGCTTTGCTGTCATTAGTCATTTACGTGTTGACTTTTTTATTGTATGTCCACGTGCAATCCAAGGACCAAGAGACCAGCTACACAATTATCAAATCTAAGGAGACAACTATTACCGCAGAGGGCTTGAAACCAGCTTCGGTGTACGTCTTCCAAATTCGAGCACGTACAGCAGCAGGCTATGGTGTCTTCAGTCGAAGATTTGAGTTTGAAACCATCCCAGTGTGTAAGTCATTTTAATTACTGTCAACTCATGTCTCTGTAATGGTTACCAGAAAAGAGTCAGTGGATCAATACCCTCCCTGGGCATTCTGTCAATCTCACTCTCCCTCTCTCTCTCCCAGACATGACCCCTTGAGGGGAGCAAGCATCTGTCATGCTGTTATGGTAGGTCGGCGGGTTAACACATTGGTCCCCGCTCCTCATTGCCTTTGGTCTACTGGGAGCTGGTACAAGAGGAGATCCTTAAGAAATGTTTAGACTTGTTTTTAGACACTTTCTTTCCACTGCTGCCATACTTTATTGAATTATTGCCATTTACTTTTTTACTTCTTTTGTTGAACTATGCTACTAGGCTTAGTCTTTCTATGAAAATTCCACAGGGAGCTTTCTTTAGCATTGACTTTGGCATGATAATGGTGCTCTCATGAACCAATCTGATCTTTTTTAAAAAAATAAATAAATCTCTGGCATTATCTTTGAGTGGAGAATCTGGAAATATTTCTGGAACATCCTTATTGTACAATTTTTC